CTTTTATCTCTCTCTGCATCAGCTTCTATGTGTTCCTGTTCTCTGGTTTCTATTCCATCAATGGCCTCTTGCATCTTATCCATTCTGTTTATAAATCCTTCCAGAGATTGTTTCACTTCTGTAATCTCCCTCCGGAAATCTGTAATCTCCCTCTGGACTTCATCCCTTAGCTCTTGTATATTTCTCTGCAGCTCTGTCAGCATGTTTATGATTTTTATTTTGAATTCTTTTTCACGGAGACTGGTTAGGTCTGTCTCTGCAGTTCCTCTCTCAGGTGTTGTCTGAACTATCTTGGACTGGACTAAATTTTTTGCCTTTTCATGGTGATAGCGGTGGCTGTAGGCAGGTTGCAGGTATGTCAGCTGGGAGAAGAAAGTCCTTTCCTGCTTTCTGGATGCCTTGCCCTTCTCCGTTGCCTGGGATAGTTACCTGCACTCCTGGAGCAGCCACCGGGTTAGTCCCCTATGCTGCTGTGGGCAGGGTCTCTGTCAGAGCAGCGCGGAGCCCTGCGGGGAGTAGCAGGCATGCCAGGTGCGCTCCTCCATGCTAGCGGCGCCCCTGCCGGGCAGCTGTGTACCAACAGCGGCCTTTGGGTCTGGCCCAGGTGGCTGTGCATTGGGCTGGGATTCTGGTCGGCTACTGGGACTGCGCCTGCTCCCTCTTGCTCTGCTGCAGGTGCACGCGGGCTCTCCTGCGTGGGCCTCTACTGGGCTCCTCCGGCTCCACTGCCGCCGGTGCACATGAGCCATACCCAGGCTGTTCGTTTGCCGCCGCTGCGGGCTCGCACAAGCCTCTCCTGGTCTCCTCTGGTGCCATTGGCACACACGATCTGCTCCCAGTCCCTTCCGGCACAGCCACCCCTGGCACACATTACCACTCTCCTGCTACTGGGCTGGTGTGTCAGGGTCCGCGCCAGTTGGAGGAATGACTGACTGGCAGGCTGCTTAGTGCCATGAGGGGCTTCAGAGCTGCGCTGCCTCCCCGGGGTTTAGGGCACCTAAGGTTCCCCAGGATTCCCAGCTGCTGGCTAAGTATGCCGGGACGACTTCATCCAGCTATAGGGTCCCTGTCTCTTTAAGACTTGCAGAAAGCACTCGCTTTTCTTTTGTCTCGGGGGTGCCGGTTGCAGGGACCTGCACACAGGTTTTGCTTTTTCCATTTCTCTAATATCCAGCACCCCCAGCACCTTGGAGAGCTGGTTGTTTAGCAGTCCTGGGCTTTCACTCCCTCCCTGTTCTGACTCCTTTCTTCCCACCAGGTTCTGGGGTAGGGGAGCGTTCGGGTCCTGCCTGGCCGCGGCTTGTATCTTACCCCCTTCATGTGATGCTGAGGTCTCACAGATGTAGATGTATCCTGGCTGTTGTACTGCATACACTGGTGTCTCTTTTAGGAATAGTTGTATTTTTTGTTTCACTTCTGTAATCTCCCTCTAGACATCTGTAATCTCTCTCTGGACTTCATCCCTTAGCTCTTGTATATTTCTCTGCAGCTCTGTCAGCATGTTTATGATTTTTATTTTGAATTCTTTTTCAGGGAGACTGGTTAGGTCTGTCTCTGCAGCTCCTCTCTCAGGTGTTGTCTGAACTATCTTGGACTGGACTAAATTTTTTGCCTTTTCATGGTGAAAGTGGTGGCTGTAGGCAGGTTGCGGGTTTGTCAGCTGGGAGAAGAAAGTCCTTTCCTGCTTTCTGGATGCCTTGCCCTTCTCCGCTGCCTGGGATAGTTTTACCTGCACTCCTGGAGCAGCCACCGGGTTAGTCCCCTATGCTGCTGTGGGCGGGGTCTCTGTCAGAGCATGGAGCCCTGTGGGGAGTAGCAGGCATGCCAAGTGCGCTCCTTCATGCTAGCGGCGCCCCTGCCAGGCAGCTGTGTCTGGCCCAGGTGGCTGTGCATTGGGCTGGGATTCTGGTCGGCTACTGGGACCGTGCCTGCTCCCTCTGGCTCCGCTGCAGGTGCACACGGGCTCTCCTACGCGGGCCTCTACCGGGCTCCTCTGGCTCCGCTGCCACCACTGCGCATGAGCCATACCTGGGCTGTTCGTTTGCCGCCGCTGCGGGCTTGCACAAGCCTCTACTGGTCTCCTCTGGTGCCATTGGCACACACAATCTGCTCCCAGTCCCTTCTGGCACAGCCACCCCTGGCACACGCTACCACTCTCCTGCTACTGTGCTGGTGTGTCAGGGTCTGCGCCAGTTGGAGGAATGACTGGCAGGCTGCTTAGTGCCATGAGGGGCTTCAGAGCTGTGCTGCCTCCCCGGGGTTTAGGGCACCTAAGGTTCCCCAGGATTCCCAGCTGCTGGCTAAGTGTGCCGGGACGACTTCGTCCAGCTATGGGGTCCCTGTCTCTTTAAGACTTGCAGAAAGCACTCGCTTTTCTTTTGTCTCGGGGGTGCCGGTTGCAGTGACCTGCACACAGGTTTTGCTTTTTCCATTTCTCTAATATCCAGCACCCCGAGCACCTTGTATCTGCGCTCCAGGTGCGGATTTCTAGAGCTGATTGTTTCGCAGTCCTGGGCTTTCACTCCCTCCCTGTTCTGACTCCTTTCTTCCCACCAGGTTCTGGGGTAGGGGAGCGTTCGGGTCCTGCCTGGCCGCGGCTTGTATCTTACCCCCTTCATGTGATGCTGAGGTCTCACAGATGTAGATGTATCCTGGCTATTGTACTGCATCCACTGGTGTCTCTTTTAGGAATAGTTGTATTTATTGTATTTTCACAAATATATATGTTTTGGGGAGGAGATTTCTTCTGAATTACTCACGCCACCATCTTCCTGTGATCCCCTACTCATTCATTCTTTCTTTCTTTTTTTGATATTTTCTCCGTACATGATTATATTTTTAATATGGAATTGGACAGTGTCAAGTACCTATGCATTGATTTCCACCATGTGATTTTTATTCTCATTTCTGTCGTGTGCTTCCTCGGGTGGAGTTTATATAAGAGCTGGAAGTGCCACACTGAGTCACAGCCCTGTCCCTTTAGCCCAATTATGCTTTGCAGAAGGGGCATGAAAAATGTTTTTGTGAGCGCAGTCTACTTCACATGTACAGACTGAAACAGCATGTGGTGACTGATGTTGACTTAAAACGTCTCTCCCAGCCTCTCATCTGTTACCTAAAACTTTGTCTGCATTCTTCTGGCATCTGGATGGGTCTTCAGATGTTCATTTTGCACCTCTGCAGAAATGGGGAGCATACAAGGTGTAGGGAGTGTGCTGGAGTGGGTTCACACTGTGGTACCAGTCCTGCCCATAGAGATACGTGTAGAAGCGAGAGGC